GGATATCAGTCATATTAAATCCTAATCTTGATTAGACATTGAGTGAATCACTCAAATACACATCCTGGTCCAATAAAACTGAAACAAAGCTAGGGGTAGCTCTCACACACGCCAAACGCAGCAGACACCCCACAAACCTCTCCCTAACAGCTTCTCATTGGGCAGCTGGGGCAACAAACTAGACCCCTGAAGAAGCTTGCAAATGAATCTTTGGGATAAACAAGTCAGGAAAGATAGGAGTCACAAATTAGCAACTCCATCCATTCCTGCAGGCATGTCAATGACACTTTGTCTTCAATTGTATCAAAATAGGCTGATAGAGTTAAAATAATCTGCAAGGACATCTGGTTATCCATTATGAGAAAGAGCAACAAGCAAGGCAAAAAGAGCACTGTTTGCATCATATACAGGACTAAAGGTAGATTGATTGCGGTTTACGAAACTGGAAGACTCCAGCTACTGTGAGAATTACTACTATAAAAATAACATTCCTCCTTCCCCACCCCACCCCCCGCCCATCTCAGCTGGGAGATTCAATCCAGTGTGATAATTGACATGATTCTGTCAGTCAAGAAACAGATTCTTGAGCAGCTGTCTAGTAAGAGATGTTGGCATCCTACTTTCTCAAAGGGAAGTGACAATAATGGAACAGCTACCTCTACAGCGAAGAACAGATCCAATTCACAGGTTGTTGCTCAAAGCTTTTCCAGACCCTACAAAACCAGGCTGAAACTCAAGCAGGGAAGACTCCTTATTTGTCCCTGCCTTTCCTCCTTCCATCACTCTCTCCATCCATGGTTCTGCTACCAAGGGTGAGAGAATTCATAGCTAAGATTCCTCAAAATCGGACTGAATTAGCTTGAACACACCTCATTGTATGAATAGTTGACTCTGTACCCAAGTGGATACATCCTGGATTAACCACGCTCTTCAACCCCAGGAACAATTCAGATGTTCAAGAATTTATAGATGCTAATGGAATCAGATAAACTTCTCTATGCTTCCTGCTCAGTCATAGCATACAATTTCAAAAAGTCTTTATGCCATAAGCAATCATACTCAGCATAAGAACTCTCCCAGTGATGCTCTAGTCCAGCAGCTCCCAAACTTCATTGGTGCATGTACAACCTTCTTAAAAATTGCTGTGAAATGAGTGATGGAACACCAAGCTCACTTACCACCAATGATTACAAGTACCACATTTGGGATCCCCTGCTCTAGACATTTCCCTTTCCAAGAGTTTGTTTGATTCTCAGTAGCATTTCTTTTTGAAAAATGATAGCAACCAAGTAAGACAACTTGGCAAAAGCTATATAACTGCTACAGATACATAATACTCTGTATTACCCAAACTATTACATCCCCATTGGGAACCCGTCTGCTCCAATATTGTACTCAAAATGTAACATGAGAAAAGCTATTTCCAAACAAATAAAGTATCTCAACACAACAGACAAATTTCATAAACTGGGCAATGAGGGTAGCCAATTTTGTTATTAGAAATCACTAAAATCTGCAGCACACTAAAAATATTTTAGATACACAAACTTGCCATATGCTAAAGCACAACTGCACTGTGACATTCATAACATGAAAAGGAAGGTCAAGTTGCCTGCAATTACTAAAAAGTTCAAACAAGAAATAGGAGTAGAGTATAATTAAAAGAAATACAAACATGATACCTGTTTAAATATCCACTCATTCCAGGAGCTAAAATAGCTTATGTCCAGTCTAGTCCCTTTAAATAATTACTACAAAATCAACATCACCTACAAAGTTTAAGACTTCGTTCATGTTTCTTGGGCAAACCCACCACCGCCAGCTATCCCACTGTCATTATCTCAATCACATACTCAACTCCTTCCAACACACATTTATTTCTTTCCCTCCTTCACACAGCTGTACTGCCAAGAAGATTTTAATAACCAGTCATTTAAAAAAGGAAACAGTGCTCTCAATTAACAAGTCATATTTTCTGGCAGAAGAGGCCAGGCAGTAATGGAATGAGTTTGACAACTGACGTAAGAAGTCTCGATTATTCTGGTTGCATTTGAATTTTACTAACCAGCATTTAAAACACAAATCAAAACAGACTTTATTGGTTGTTCAGTTCACAAGCATATGAGTACATAGTACAGAATACTGACATTCTGAAGAGCTATGTTTCCACATTTTCTGAAGGAGGAAGTCATTGCAAAAGCATGATTAAGTGTGAAGAATAAGGAATCTTGCAAAATACATTCAAAGTTAGTAAATTAGTTCACAGCATGACAGAGCCAGCAAAGCATGTGTAAAGCAAAGGCTTCACATTTTTCAAACAAGGCTTGCCTAAATTTAGTGTAACTTTTACAATTCTACATATCTCAGCGCAGTAGGAATTCAATAGAAATCTGATCAACTGGATTTGATTTTACAAGACCATCAGAACACAATTGAGTTGAGGTAGAAGTATGGACTCTAAATCATCAAAAGAAGGCCTGATGAATTAAAGATTAGTTAATGGGGCAGCAGCAGGTTTACTCAAATGGAAGTCCCCAGTTTGCCATCCTCTGCTCTAGGTTTGCTTTATAGAAGGTCCAGAAGGAGCCTCAGCAAGGGCATAAAGACATCAAATATTGCAAGGGGAGAAAGGCACTGCCACAAGAAGAGTCCAAGATGACTGTAAAATAGGAACTGCTTAATTGGACAGAGCACCTCAAGAACCTGACAGCAGAAAAGTTAGAGCAGAAAATCA